TCCTTGTTTTAGCCAATTCAGGGACGCGCTTTTGTTGATATGCGGTTGCATCAGTGTTGCCGGATAACGGCCATCTTTCCATTTCTCTTAGAGGTTGTCTTCATCTGCCTCATCTCTGGTGCTCTCTGCTAGGTTTAGTGGTGTCAGTTTTCTATCAATTTTCCTTAGAGTTTGTTTTGTCGTCGTTGAAGTATTTTTGAGAGTACTAATTTGTTTTTGGTGGTGTGTCGGTATGTGCACGATACCTTGGCTCCCTTTTTCACGTGGGATGTTTACTCTCTCGCTCTGAGCTGCGCGGGTGATGTTTACGGAATTTAGTGCTCATGGTACGAACTTCGCGATTAAGTTCTTCAAGTGTACCTCAGGATGGATATAGCGTATATATTTATTGCCTTTGTTGTGTTTTTGACATTTAGTTTCGTTTTAAGAGCGGCCCGTAGCCTTTCTCTGAATTTCTTTTTCAGTGTTTCTTTGCTGTTACTATTATTATTATTATTATTATTATTATTATTATTATTATTATTATCATTATTATTATTATTATTAAATATCCACATATTAATACATTGCACTAATGAAGGAGTTTGGCACTGTTTTTTGTGTCTCAAAGAGCAAATAAATAAATCAATATTCAACATGATTTTCAAGAAGTTATTTGGGTTTTACAAAAGTTGTTATCGCGTACTTTTAATTACACTTCGCTATACAATTTCGAATGAGTGCGGTTATAAAAATACTAGACTGCCGCGCAATAGTCCTTTAGGATTACGGCTATTTGGCAACGTAACTGTGGGTAGAATTACCAAACACGTTCGGGATAACTAGATGCGATTTTAGCAATTTCAATTAAGAATGGTTCGCGAACCATGGTTTTATTAAAATTGTACCACTACGAGGCGCATCATATAAAGGCAATATTACCTAACCGCGGAACAATTCTCACTCGGTATTTGTTTCAATTGACAATAACCCACATGTGATTCTGATTATTATTTGAATTGTAAATTCCCCTGCAAATTGCGCATTTTTTAGCCGATATATATTTTCTGGTTGTTATGCTAAGCATAAAAAAATTTATTCATTTTAAAGGCACAATTGTTTTTTCGCGAGTCCACTGTTATTTACAGATCCTGAAGAATACAAGGAGGTATCTTTTATCGACTAACTATAGCAATAATATCAACATAAATTAGAGGTTACACTTCATCAAATATAATCAGCAATTCATATTTTGTTAATTTGAACTGCCAACGTGGTATCATGAAAAGTATGACACCAAAGTTATAAAAAAATATAAAATTAAAAATTCGATAATATAGTACATTAAGCAACAAGTGTCCTCACGAGTTCATTTAGCACGAGCAAAGCGCAGCGAAGGGAGTATTTATTTTCTATTTTGAATGTATTCGTATTGTGTTGAAAAAATGTAGTCAAAAACTAACAGTCGTAGAAAAAATATAGTCTGCAACACGTTCGATAAACAATTTAAGTCATTCGTTTATTAAACACTCGCTCTGTTCGTGCTCGTGACTCAAATGCCGGTTACGGCACTTGTTGCATAATATACTGATTGTTCATCAAATGAAATTTTAGTAATGGCAATAATAATAAGAATGATAATAATAATAATAGGGTTAGCACACCGATCAGTGTGATCACGTGCTGTCGGAACTAGACCCAAGCGATCCTCGGGCGTGGCAGAAAACCATTCCCCTTCTGTTCGGAACCGCCCTGATAATACCCGTGCCTGGACCAAGCCAGGGTGTACAAGGTGGCACCCCCTTGGTACCGGAACCCACCGCGCAAGAAACTGGAATCTAACACCTCGACAATCCCAGTAACCTCGACAACGTTGTGGAAACCCGAGCACCACCCGTCGACGTGGACCCGACAACCAGCAAGAAAACCCAATTTAAATGGTCTCAGTACTTACTAATTACTAATGCAGACCAACAAAGCCCCTTTCGCTCACAGACTGCACTCAGAAACGACGACAAAATTCTCAGAACTCCGGAACAAAACTGTGCAAAACATCCTTGACCTTAAAGAACCGCCTTCGATCACGAATTATAAAAAATATACGTGCTGAAGTGCCTACACAATTATAAATGCAGGCGATGGTGACGTAGAACACGTGGAGCCAGTACAGATTGTCCCACCAGAAGGCCGTTTAGCCTACGATGCTCTTCAAGAAAATATTCAAAGATGTTCTGATAAGGACCCACTGTCAAGACCGCCAATCCCAAGGCTAAGGACGAACAAGGATACAAAGATGATTCTTGACTCCATTAACGGTGTACTCAAGGATGAGGCTGATAGGTGCAAGGACATCATGCAGATGCATGACCTAGTCTACTCGGCTGCAATGGCTATTCTCCAGCTGCACAACTGGAGACTGAAGCCTGCGAAATCGTCTGGGATTACAGGCAGCAAACCTGGATGGGAGAATTCGCTTACAAAAGCAAATTGCCGTACTGAGACAGGAGATTGAAATCCTAACCGAGGTACAAAGGCCGCAACACAGTGCCAAGGTGAAAAAAAAATCTTAAAAAATCGAAGCGAAATCTTAAAAAAAAACCACAACGAAGAGAACGTAACCGACGTTCTTGACCACCTTAAACAGAAACTGAGGGTGAAAGCGAGTAGACTTGGGAGATATAAAGATCCACATCAGAGAAGAACCGACAACAACCTCTTTAGCACAAATCAAAAGAGGTTTTATCGAAAACTAACATCCAATGAGACAGGTGATCGGGAAGGCAAGTATCCGCAGCCGCAAAGAGTTAAAGAATTCTCTCAATCACCTGCTGCAAAACCTCGAGTCTGCACCATCCTTTCTAACTAAAGGAGTTACTTACCTGCTCCCGAAAACCGACCTGCCAGTAGAAGATCCTTCAACATACCGACCCATCACGTGTCTACCTACCCTCTTCAAGATGCTGAGCGGTATTCTTTGCAAGAAAATCTATGAACACCTTATCGAGTACGATCTCCTGGCAGAAGAACAAAAAGACCGGAGAAAGCTCTCTCAAGGCTACAGGGAGCAGCTTGTGATCGACCAGGTGGTTACACGAGATGCTGTAAAAAACATGAAAGACCCTTACATAGACTATGTGTGCCCCACTCCTGGCTGCAGCAATGCCTATCTACATACAAAATTGACCCGACTATAACTAATTTTCTCGGAGTGATGATGAGCAGATGGGAAATACAACTCGCTATCAACTATGGAAGGATGGAGAACTAAAAATAACCATTAGGATCCAAAGGGGAATCTTCCAGGGAGATGCCTTGAGCGCTCTGGTTCTGTATCGCCCTTAACACGACTGCTTTGAGGAACATAGGAAAACATGGGAAACAACGTTACGCTAAATCATCTAACATACATGGATGACATCAAACTGTTTTCAACAACAGAAAAAGGCCTTAAGAAGCAGACCAGGTCCATTGAAAATTTCTCTAACGATGTCAGAATGAGATTCGGATTGGACAAAGGTAAGACGAACTGCATAAGGAGGGGAGTCGCACGAGTCGGATGGCCATAGGCTAATTCACACATCGGAGAGGGGGACCATTGAGCAAATGCAGAGATATATGAGTACGTTGGATTTGCCCAGGCCAGAGGAATTGTAACGGACCAAGTAAAGCGACAGCTGGTAACAAAATTAAAGCATCTAGACGAATAAATTCTCAGAACTAAGATTTCGGTGCGCAATTGCAATCGCAGCGATAAATACTTATGCTGTCGACCTGGATGAACTCAATCGCATGACAAGAGTCTGTTTCACAAAACACCGCAAACAGATTTGTTTGTTGACAAATGCATTTTACGAAATTTATTATTTACAGATATTTTGAAACTTTTGATTTCTTTGATAAGGAAAAACATAATAGAACACCTTTAAGATGGACATTTGGTCCAGATACACAGATACACAATAAAAAAAACATCGATTAAAAGATTTCTGGTAGTTAATAATAATGTATAAATATATGCATCGTAAATTTAATTTTGACGAACACGCGCGTAAATCAAAATCAGTTTTTAACCTACGCTTAATCATACTGCACATGTTATCCTACGACGTTATAGGGAGGCAAATGTGTTCTTCACACCAACGTGACAAGTTGGCAGTTGACATCAAATCAGTTCTAAACATGTCGTTCAACGCTTTGATCTCATGTCAGTCTATGTAAGCAGCGCAGCGGTGGCGTGCTTATAATTGGATGCCAAAATATCGAATTATATAAAACACATTCTTATTAACAGAAGACGCTTAAGAATATCTTACTTCTAAACTGATTTTATTTCAACTTCTTATTCTTATTAAACCTCCCTATTGTGGGACAGAAATTTATACACAGAATTTCAAGTTCCAGTTATTCTGGTAAGTTATTCTATAACTTACTTGCCTTCTTTTTTCAACACTACGTCGCTATGCGTGAGTCAACTTATAAGTTTTCGGTGGTATTTCATAATGCCGTAAGCAAAGCAAAGACAAGAATTTTCTTTTTTTTTTAATATATAGTTGGTTACTCTTAAAAATACCTCAACATTTTATTGGATCTGCGCCATGTTGGTTGTTGAATGCCGCAAGGTTTTATAGGTTGAAAGTAAGAACTTACCATTACAGATGTCATTAGTTAAAAATATTTTTTTTAAATTTAATGATTGATGATAGGATCATGTTGATAAGGCCTGCTTAAAATTTTTCACCGTTTCTTCGTAATTTCCTGCATTATCAGGCAAGGCGTATCTCTAGTAGCCCATATATTTTGTAGACCTAAACGTATTTTTCGATAATGGCTATGTTGCTTTAAGCAAGATTTACTTTTAGGGTTAGTTTTTTTTATTCAACAATATAATGAGGTTGGTTAAACCTTCTCAAATTATTGTGGAAATATATATATATATATATATATATATATATATATATATATATATATATATATATATATATATATATATATATATATATATATATATATAACTCATCGGTTTACAGAGGTAAATAGAGGACAATTGGAGCCATGATCGAACCTTGGGGTTCTATTTGGTCTGAACTGTCTAGCCCTACAATTTGCCAAAGCTGATAAGCCACGGTAACTGCAAATCAACGCACTAGGGAAACTTACATGCATACACCAGTATTCTCTAAACTGATTTTTTTTCTTCAATTTTAGAGGCAATGAAGAATTCTTATTGGTGTGTCATCAAAATTTTAAAAAATGTTTGATTTAATTCAATTTAATTTTAATCATTGCAAGTTTCCAAGCATTTGGATGGACATTTTTAAGGATGCAAGTATTTATAATATTCGCAGTAAAGAAGAACCATTTCTATATCTGTATATGGCAGCATGTAAAAAAAGTATCTTTGTATGTCATGAATTTGCTAATCTTTAATACATAAAATTAAGCTGACCTTATATTAAACTATCTATTGAAATCTTCCTACGTGATCTGAACCAAAACTTAAAGCTGAGGATTTATTTGCAAACATTTATTTACACATATATAATGTTAGTGTAAGCAGCAGTTATTGATATGCGTCGGGTTGAAATAAGATACCTCCAACACCTTTTAATTTAATTTCGATGGTTAACTCATCTTACACAAAGCCAAATCAAATAATTCTAAATCCAGTTCGTATTAATTTAGGTGTATTCCGCAACCTCGCCCCAACCAAGGTCTAACTTCATAAACGCCAGTCCGCTCAATCTTAATTAACCATAGTTTAGTGTCAAACGATCCTAGACGAAGGTGTGTATTTAATATGTAAGGTATGAGGACGCCTGTTGTGTGTTTTTACTTGCCATTGAGAAATTAATTTAGAGGCAGCAAAGGCCCTCCGCCTTTGGACGGAATAGGGGCGGGTTACATAAATTCTCCCGTTAAAGGCAATTTGATTTCGCTTTGCCATTTGTGTAAATACTAAATTTGAATATCTATTACTTTCGCAATCTAATTAAGGAAACCTCGAATAAAGCGGGACCCTTATTAGCATATTAAACGGAATATATTTACCGGGTACGCAGCGCCTTGTCGCCATCAAATTGCTTTAAAATTTTATGGTCTATCAACTGCATTATTCGAGAATTATTGATCGGGTACTGGAATTACACCTGCTCCACTCGGCTATGCATCATATTCCATTATTATTAGTTTAATTATCTTTATTATCCAAAAAGCAAGAAAATTTGCAATGTAATAATGACAAATTTAAAAAAATAGGATAATAGAAAAAGCATTACCTAAAGGGACCCAACTTAAACCCTTTGTACAAAAAAAGATTACCCATGGATATTTTAATATACTAAAAATAGAACCCACCATATCAAATATCGGTAGTTTTGACAAGAAAAGAAAAACAAACACATGGACATACAATACAAGCTAATCTATCTACTGCTAATTGTACTGATTGTACTAATTGTTTTAATACTATTTAACTACCTAAAAATTACAAAGCTTTAAGGCAAACATGACGGCTGATTGGTTTTTAATTTTTTGTATGTAAGATTGAGAAGGTATGTTATAGGTTTTAGCATCAGATATCTCTCTTTAAATAAATACTGATATTTAAGTAATAATTTAAGGCTGGGACCCATTATCTCACTATTTAGGTATCGTTTTCCAAGCAATCCATTATAGTATTAACAAAGCCAAATGACATGTTTTGTGAATCGTAGGTTAGTATCATTCCATAGCACCAGATTTTTTGCTTCAGTTTTAAACTCTATATCGTCATTCAATCCTATTTGTTTTTGTGGTCAAATTAATATGATGACTTGACTTATTGACATTTAGCTTTAGCAGAACATATATAGAGGTCCTCGTTAATTTTTGTAGTTGCACTTCGTTTGGCTAAATAGTAAAGCAGTTGAGAATCGCCAGCGTAATTATGAAGAAAGGCATGTTTCAAAATATAAGGAAAGGCTTAGATGTAAGCTGAGAAGAACAGAGATCGCAAGATTGAGCTTGAGCTCTTCTGGAAAAAAAACATTGATTAATTTAGTTTACATATATGGAAAACCAAAATAAAGAACTTTTCTAAAAGAATTTTTGTATTAACAATATAAAAAGCTTTGCAGTAATTCAACAGAACGAGGTAATTTATTTTATTTCGATTAGTCTGACAAAGTGAATCATCAGTTATTTTAGTAAACTTATAAGTACTTATTAGGTAATTTTGTATTATACAGGGTGTCCCATAACTATGCACTATTGAGCACAAAGTAATGATTTATTTTTGGAAAAGGAGATTTGTTCAACAAACAGCAACTAACCAAAACTTAGCTATCATAGGCGCCTTCCAAAGCTTCTAAGTTTGTCACTTTTTTTGAATTAAACGAAATAAGCATTATGGTCATAGGCCGATGTCGGGAATTTAGGTTAGTTTAGAAATTTATGTAGAAATTTGGGGGCGTATTAGTGAAACACCGCTCTTTTCTGCTAGTATGAAATTTCTATTTGCAAGATTAACATAAAAAGTGTAACCGAACGGTAAAATTATACATATCAAGTTTCAATAAAATATGTGAACACAACACAAAAACAATCTGATAGTAACGGGTTGACGCATCTTTACCCTATATGATTGAAAGTTTGATGATCTTCAAGTTTCGTTAGGTATAAAAAAGTTATCTTAACAAATATTTAAATAACAGCACCCATTTGCAGATTTTATTTCGGTGCGAGCTTCGACCGCCAAGTCTATTAAATTCGTCCAAATCATAGTTAATAATAATAACTCAACCCCCGAAGTGTTTTCTATTCTTTGTTGCGGTATGCATTCGTACAGATTCGAAGAAACTGCTTTGTCCACTTCCAAAAGCGTGTTAAAACGTTACTTTTAATATCCCTTTTACTGTGCACCATTACTGGACATAATGTGCCTTTTTTCTAACACAATATTCTCGGCGTGTCCTTTGAAACGCTTGAGTTACTTTACACGTGTAGCTACCCTTTTGTGGTGAGAATATTCCAAAAATGAAAGCGCGGTAGTTGTCTGCTAAAAGAGGTATTTTAAGTGAATATGGCTGGGTCGCATCACGTAAAAGAGTTTACGCTCTCATATATGCGGTATAAACCATATCGATGGCATAAAATATTCTAAATTATTAAATTCCTCGAATACTAAAACTAAAATATTAGTTCTTCTCGTCTTTAGATCCGTTTTATTTTATTCATTTTATTTTTATTTTTATTTTTTTTTATTTTATTTATTTATTTATTTATTACAAAGGTGCCCTAACATGAAGAACTAACTTCACAATTTACAAGGACACACTAACAATTATACCATTATTTAATTAACAAAGTAAAACTTATAAGTAAGTACCTACCTATATCTACGATAAGCAGAAGAAAGAAAAAAAAATAATAACAATCAAACTTACCAAACTAAACCAAAACTAACACTGTATATTAAGTGCGTGAATTACAAAAGACAAATGTGAAAAAATAAGGAAAACAAATCAAAAATTAAAATAAATTTATAGAAAAACCCTAATTGCTTGATTTCGAAACGAATTAAGTGATAACGCAAAGATGTCAATGTGCGAAAAATAATTATTGTAATGTCTATGTAAAAGAGATATTGGGGAATTGTTACCTAAGTTTGTATTAAATCTAGGCACGTAAAATAATGAAGGAGTTCTTGTTATAACGACTCTGGCATTGAAGGAGAGTTTTTCCAACAGTAAAGGACAGTCAATCCTACTATTAATAATATTATGCAAAAATATAGCACTGGAGATAATTCTTCTAACAGATAACTTCAGTATATGGTAGAAATTAAGACTAGCTTCATACGAATGAGTTAGTAAGTTACGGTTAAATCTAAAATTTAAATGGAAAACAATTTTTTTTTGTATTCTCTCGATTCTGTCTATATATTTATGATACTGAGGACTCCATATCACACCGCCATAGTCAAGGTGAGATCGAACGTAGGAATTGTATAGAATAATAAGCGATTTGTGATTCTGAAATTCCTTGCTAACTCTTAATATAAAACCTAAATTTTTATAAGCTTTTTTTACTATATTCTCAATGTGGATATCAAAACTTAATTTTACATCTATAGTTATTCCAAGATCCCTAATCTGCTCTACTTTTTTTATTTTTACACCATTGAATGTGTAGTCAAAGTTTATATCATTTATCCGCCTGCTGAACTTAAGACAGTAACATTTATCAATATTTAAAAATAGACGATTTTTTACACAGTATTCATAAAAACGATCAAGATCTTCTTGAAACTTATGACAGTCGTTAAGGCTTTTCACGGGCGCGTATGATTTCTGATCATCTGCTGATGATGCTGATTTAGCAAAGAGAAAACATTTACTGACATCTGTGATAAACAGTGAAAATAACAATGGTCCCAAATGGGACCCCTGAGGAATTCCAGATGTGATGCGGGTCGTTTGGGATTTTGCAGAATTCAATTCTACAAACTGAGTCCGAGGACTGATGTAGGATTGAAGAATTTTATAAAGACAACCGTGTACACCGAAATTTTTTAATTTGATCAACATTGTTGGGTGGTGAACCTTATCAAAAGCTTTTGAGAAGTCGGTGTACACGGCATCTATCTGCACCCTATTATCTAACGCCTCAGAAACATCCTGGACATATAGTGAGAGATTGGTAGCAATCGACCTACCCCTAAAAAAATCATGTTGTGTATCTCCAAGAGCATGTTTTAATTTGAAAAATAACTCATTGGTAATTATAGCTTCCAGCATTTTCCCTGGAACGGAAGGAATAGATATAGGTCGGTAGTTTGTGACGTCAACCTTGCTGCCACTCTTGTGCACAGGTATTACTTTGGCACACTTCCAAATAGTTGGAAACTGCCCTTCAGATAAACTTTTGTTGTAAATAATAAAAAGTGGCTGCACTAAAGATTCAGCACATGATTTGAATAATATCGGGGGTAGGTTATCAGGTCCATGGCCTTTATTTATATCAAGCTTACTTAGCTGGATCCTGATTTGGTCCTCGGATATGAAATTTAAAACAACAGTGTCACATGGCGGTTCTAACAACGGAATTCTCGAAGGAGTTGTATCAGGTTCATAGACACTCGAAAAAAAATCAGAGAATGCTGCACAGATATCTACATTAGTATAAAAACTACGATTTTGATACGTTACTGATTTTGGTAAGTTTTTTGATTTTTTTTTATTATTTACAAAACTCCAGAATGATTTCACACTATCTTTCAGATTACTTTCAGTGTTTTTAACATAGTTTTTGTAATCTGTGCTTATTGCAGCTCTGACCTTCCTTCTCAATTTAGAGAATATGACATAATCAACAGGATTGTTGTACTTTTTCCATCGTTGGTGTAGTTTATATTTTTCTTTAATAAGCGATCTCGTACTTGGAATGTACCAAGTAGGAAATTTATTATTTACTTTTTTCTTCGGAACACTATCCGTGACCACCCCGTAAAACCTTTCATAGAATATATGTACACAGTCCTCAACTTTCAAGTCTTTAAAAAGATCCAACCACGGAATACGTGACAGCTCTACGTTTATTACGCCACAGTTTGCATACCTGTATTTCAGTTTCTCAAAACTAGACTTTCCTTTAAGTGATTCCTGTATGTTTGTATCAATCAAAATATCAATACATTTATGTTGAGTAACTCTTTCCACTACAAAAGGGTCCACAGACCTCGTCACGCTAACATTTATAAAATTACTAAAGACCAAGTCCAAAAATCCTGCATTATCATTAGGGACGCCATTGAATTGATCAACATTAATTAAATTGAAAGAATTAATGAGTGACTCACCATATAATCCAGATATCTCTGAGGGTACGTAACAACTATCGCCACTATCGAATATCCACTTTACTTTCGAAGCATTGTAATCGCCCAAAATAACACATTTTTTTGCAGGACACATCTGCACAATTCTAGAAATTTTATTTAGGTGCGCATTGAGATTTTCAACACTTGATTCGGGAGGTGCATATACACAACACAGCAGAATAGACACAGATGCTTGCAGCTTAATTTCCACCCACAGATCCTCAAAAATCCCATCACAGCTCCAATCAAAATGTGCTTCTGATTCGAACTTTTTCGCGACTGCAATAAAAACACCCCCACCATCTTTTTTGTTTGATCTAAGTAGATCTCGATCCAACCTAAAAACTTCGTAATAATTTGTATCAATGAACTCAGAGTCAAAAATATTATATTGAGCCAAGACTCAGTAACACAGAAAACATCCGCTTGATCACTTAATGTAGATAAATAAAACTCTTGCAATTTTGTTTTCATCCCACCCACATTCTAAAAACTAGAAAAAAGACTATATTAAATTTACGTTAAAATTTCACACACAAGGTCATTTCAGCATGTTTTCAGATAATATTTGTATCACTTTATCCTTGTGGTTCAAGTATATTTTGCAGTCAAAAGTCCAGCACTTGGCTCCTGGATTTTTTCTGCAAAAATCGCGGGTTTTCTTGAATAACCCTTTATTTTCAAATGTCAGCTGCTCATTGATGTATATAGCCGAATCATTTCGGGATAATCCTGTTTCATTTAATTTAAGACCTTTCTTTTTCCGGATAGCAGCAATGACAGCATCTTTATCATTTTTGGATTTCATAGTAACAATTATAGAGTCCTGTTATCAGCATTCATATGGGCAACCCTCTTGTAAGATTGAAAGGTATCCTTTTCGGTACCAAGAGCACCAAAGCCTGAGTTATTTACTATACGTAGATCATTTCCGCACTTTTCTGGGATATTATTTATTTCTAGATTATTCATTCTTGCTTGCTGCTGTAGAATATTCATGGATGATTTCAATTCACATACTTGTTTATTTAGATCTGTTACCTTTGACTCAATCTTTGGTATCTCCTTGACTGAATTTTCCATTTCAATCATCTTTTTATTGAAGTCGTCGATCTTCCCTCCAAGGAACTCAATCGAGACCTGTAGATTTGTTTGGGTGGATCTAAGGTCACCAATATTGGACTGCATAACATCGATCTTGTTATTCATTTCCACCAGCAACTTTTTTATAGTATTATCGGATTCTGTGTTATCACCGGACAAGCATTGATTACACCGGTGAGAAAATCCCTGAAGTTTAAGTACTTCAGTTGGGTAGGGAGACTCCAAACAGGTATTATGATATTGTTGTTTACAAACAAAACATTCTACGGTCACATCTGACCGGCCTAATCGCATTTCACATATCTCACAGTTCAATGTCATCTCGACGAGCTCGGATACAGATACAGAATTCTCTTTAAAATATTAATTAATACAATTATTACAAGAATTTCAGTGGAGCATTGATTAAATTAAAAAAGTGTTGTTGTTGATATTATATCAATAATACTAGGCACTCAAAAACGAAATTTCAGTTTTAGATAGGCTTGCAACAAAACGTTTTCCATCACGCAAATGAAATATAGGTCCCTAACTCGTTAAGAGCCAGTCCTCATTATTCTATCATTTATTTTATTTCAGAGTCTCCTCCGGACTATTGCCTCCTCAGACGAGGCATGAAAAACGTAGAAATATGTTTTTCTACTCCAAACTCTATAATACCCAGTTATACTTCATTTCTTAAATTGAGAAAGTAATAAAATGTAAATATGCAATGGCAAGGATCAGTATAGAACGGACAGTTTAAAGATTATACCGTAAAGTTCAGATAAATTCGAATCCTTCCTAAATTAAGGTCAAACTAATTTGCATTCATAAAAGGCGAGTTTTATGAATGGAAGTTTTATGACAGCGGCTTTACTAGACGTTATTTATTAGAATAATATTAAATACTATTTACAATACAATTTCATTCGTGAATTTTAGACATATTCCTCGTAGTCAGATGACCTATAGATATATTATTTTCTAGCATCAGTTATCAGCGTCCCACATCCTTTTTCCATTTCAATCCCATGTTTGATGCACTTACTCCATGTTTCACAATCCACTGGTTTAAGTCGCTATTGCGAGGGGGCTCAAAGTCAGTCATTTAAAAAGTGATGTTGTGAGAGTCGATGGGCAATCTATTGAAAATGTAGACACAACAAAATTTTTGGTTATTTATATAGACCAAAAATTGTGTCACCGACAAATGGTTTCATATTTTTTAAAAGATTTCATCGTTCAACAAATTTCATTGCAGACATTCTTTTGTACAGGGTCACTAAAACGAGTATATTATTCTTCTGATGACATTATTTTTATCAACATTTATTACAGTTCTTGTTTCCTTGTACTTCTATCATATTTAAACACATTCGAACTCTTCTCGGCGAAAATTTCAGAAACCCTAGCCATTTTCATGAACAAATTTTACCGGAATGCAACTGTTATTCTAATTTTAAACTAAGGAAGACGTAAGTCGACTGCCTGTCCGTTTACTTGTCACTCTCGTCACCCTTGGCAATCACCACAAGTACTTATACCTATGGAATATGACTAAGACTACTAAGTTTTACAGTTTAATAATGATTTACACCTCTCGCCCATTAAGCAATAAAGCATAACCAGTGGTCAAGCATGCCAAAGGTAGGAATAAAATAAGCAAATATTATTGCGCAAGAATTGATCAACACTTAGGCAGCTGTCGGAAAACTTATTTCCGCGAGAAGAAAACATTCTCGGACAAACTGTTCAACTTACCTAGCTTCCCCGATGTTTGTTTATCTGCTAAAATGTAAAAATTATCCCGTATACGCGTCTACACCTGCGAAGCTGTGGAGGCAACTGTAAAGATGTCGCGAACATTGTTGCGAATAAGCAGCATACATAATGATTGACGATTTAATTCGCAAAAGGAAACAAAGGAAACGAAAAAGATTTTGACAATAAAGTTTTCATATCCAAAAACAGGAATATGGTGGAAAAAAATGTTGTGAGAAAACTGAAATTTCAAAAAATTGGTGGACTTTATAAGAAACGTCTACTAATCACACAACCTGATCCGTTAGCGAGTGGTAGTAAACGCAGCATTGCTGTTCCAACTTGCCGTACTACATAGGGTGTCATTCCATTGATGGGACGCCGAAAATCCGACAATGCATGGACACACTGAACGCGAAGATGTTACTGGTTCCAGTTTATGCATTACCGTGCAGACGGTGTCATGATACGGCATTCTGGTACAAATCTGGATGCACCTTTAAGCAATGTACCACTACGGGAATAAACACCGCGCAACAGGTCGGCAACTCCTGCGCAATAACGTTTGCTTATTCTATTCCCACTTAACACGTCAGCTTCATTAGCCACTGTGGGAAGCCATTTCGGACGCTTCCATTACTTTGGCCATTGGTTTGGGAGCGATCAGATGTATAGATTTTTTCTACTCCCTTCTGTAAAATACCTAATTACCGCACGGCTTGAATTTTGACGTTTGTCAATACTGACGGACATGTCAGTGAATGTATTCGTGCTGTTTTGTAAAAATGTACCGAAAAACTAACGGTCCTAATGGAACATATTTGGTAAACTTTTTAAGTCACTCGTTTATTTAACACTCGCACCGCTACGCTCCGCTCGTGCCAAATAAACTCGTAACTCAAATGAAATACTTTTTCTATGACTGTTAGTTTTTGAGTACATTTTTGCAAAACAACACGACATGATCGTCTGAATTGACAGACGTCAAAATTAAGAAGTGCGGTACCTTATATCTCCGAAGACATCCGATTGATTCCACACCCGTGCGGTAATATCCTGCAAATGTCCGAAGTGAAAAACGAAACTGACGCGGTAAAATGACACTTCTCGCACACTATAGCAGTGTATAATTAGGTATTTTACAGAAGGGAGTAGAAAATAGTATATTATGCAACTAGTGCGGTAAACGGCGTTTGACTCACAAGTATATTTGCATACTATACTTTTTCTACGACCGTTAGTTTTTGGATACATTTTTGCCAAAAAACGCGAATACATTCACTGCCATGACCGTCATACCGAATGCTCCCAAACCCGTACGATAATATCCCGAAAATGTCCGAAGGGGCTTGGATCCGTGGGAACAGAAACTCACGTGATAAAGTGCCACTTTCCGCAACTTAGATCAGTGTATAATTAGTTATTTTACAGCAGGGAGTGGAAAAAAGTAAATATGCCAACACGATTAGTTTAAACCTCTTCATAAACTTCTCGTTTATCAATCACGAGACTAAAGTGACGTTTATACAAAAATGTACGAAAATTCTTAAGTTACTCGTTTATTAAGCACTCACTCCGCTAGTGTCAAATCAAACTCATGGCTAAAAGCGTTTATCAAACAGAAAAAAGGAAATGCAGATTGAGGTTGTCGGTTGATCGGTAATATTTAAAATAAGAATTATCCAACTATAGATTTAATTTTATTCTGGAAGATATAAAGAAGTTTCTTAACCACCCCTCTACAAAAAAAACACTGAACCATACTGAAACCAATGTCAGATATACACACTCGTCACTTTTGAGGTAAATCGGTTTGATTACTGGCATCTCCCTAATGCGTTCAAACGCATTAAGAAGTCTTCGAAATTGTCGTCGCTGGCGTACCGATTTATCCTACAACAAAGTTTGTTCGTGGAAGTTGTTAGTTATTATCGAAAGCTTGAGTGTGTCTGTGACGGGGTTAAAGTTTCGCGCACATAATGTCCCCCAACTTGTTTGAAATTCAATACTAATGATGTTTTTGCTTATATGAAAAATACCATTTTTAAATCGGCATCGAAAATGGCATTAGGACAGCCCCTGAACACATGCTAAGACAAAACACAAACGCATTTATCCAGTGCACTAAAAGTCCTACGTCCTTTGAAGTAGAATAAACAATAATTATTCTCCCCGATTTTTATTTTGCCGTCTAGTGGCGTTATTTTTGAACCGACAAAAACGATCTCGTTTCGCTGCTGAATGACTTTTTTTAGTTCTAACTAATGGTGTCTGTGTTGCTCGCACGGTTGACGCTTGTAATTTAGATAAATGGTTGTCGGATACTGGGTTAAATATCTGTTATGGTTTCGCCGATTATATCTTAATTATTTCTTACGGGAATACACACTTTAGATTACGTTTTAAAGAAATGACAATTTAATCGCTAAGTATGTTGTATCAATAATTGCGTTGGAGATTATCAAAAAACTATTTCGTGTTGAAATAAACATATTTTTTTCGGGGAAGAATAGTTTTGTTTTAATTTAAACCGGTAAATTTAACCAGGAATGCGTTTGGTGAATTTAGATAATCTTTTAAATAATATTACTTAGAAGCGGTACTGCGACCTTTTTAATTCAATTGATGAAAAAAGGTTTATTTTCCCTAAAACTAACCGTCTCAAAAAGAATATTTTTCGTGCAACCTAATAACCATCTGAGGTTTGCAAATTAAAAATGTGTTAATTAACGCTATTTTATTTCCTTTTTGTTATCATGATAAAAACGTTTTTCCAGGACAATTCCAGATTAATAATATTAATGAGAATTGCAATAATAAATATTGAAGAAAACAACTTGAATAGGGATAATGACATTATTACTTTTCAGTCGTCTAATATTGGGTGCGCATAAAAATTAAAAATATTTTGTCTGAAAATAGTTCCCTTTATCGAAAATATCCAAAACTTTTCCTGCAATTAAAACGGTCTCTCGACTACCTCTGATAAAAAAAGAAGAATGTCGGTGGGTGCTATAAATTTAGTTTTTAGTAATAATGATGCATTTATAATTCAAAATTTTAAAATTTGTTGATGAATCGGACTTGCTAATATTTGGCCAACTTCCTGGTGACTACTTCAGAGCTTGAAAATGGTACCCATCCTCATTGTAACACATGTGCATGATATCGCCAAATGAGTGGGGAGATGAGTGGATTTTCATTCATAAAACTCAACCCAAATGAAATAAATAGCATAATAGCATACTCTGAAAAAAATTGTATTTTTAATGGTAATGGTCCATCCTTCTTCATGGGTAAATCAGTATGTAGATTGTGAAACGGTCCGTGCTTACCAAAGAGGTTATGAACAATTTCTTGATAAATTCGATTTTCGGGAACCTCCTACGAAATTTCCGGTTTCATGTTTTCCTGGTACATTCCCAAAACCCGGGAAAAGGAGAAAAAACTTCGCTCACACTTATCAGCTACAATCTTCACAATATATTTTAGTCCCTTATCTTAAGTGTATTTTGAAATGCGTTAACACTTAAAGTGTACCTGGTGACTCAATAGAGTGGTAAAGTACTATAACTCCA